GGGAGGCAGAGCCAGGCGGATCTTTGTGAGTTCGAGGCCAGCCTGGGCTACCAAGTGAGCTCCAGGAAAGGCGCAAAGCTACACAGAGAAACCCTGTCTCGAAAAAAAAAAAAAAAAAAAAAAAAAAAAATAAAATAAAATAAAATAAAATAAAATAAAATAAAAAAGAATTTTAACCTCAAAAAAAAAAAGAATAAAAAAAAGCCAAATCATGTGGAAACCTTTCCCCAATCTGTGTTCCCTCCTCTCACAGACTCTAGGCTGTTTCAAGTTGACAAAAAACTGGCCAACATAGCATGTCTCTAAAATTCCCCACAGTCATTTCACTTTCTGGATTATAATATCACCTTCACACTAATGTCTTAGCTACATCAAGGTAATATCGGATCTATATTTGCTCTGCAACAACCAGTCAAGACTTTATTCCATGATACCCTCTTTATATAATATTAAAAATAAAATCAGCAAAATCTGAATGGAAAGCTATTCCAAAAGTGTAGTAGTGGCACTTATATCCTGGTAGTAACCAATAGCCACCTAACTGAACTTAAGGCCCTCCCTCTCATTAGGAAGGAATTCATCCTGGGACTGAAAATTAGCTGACTACCAGTAGCTGATGAGGTGGTGGCACTATTCCCAGTCCTGAGGTTCCAGGATCATTTCAGAAGAGAGGGTGGGGAGAGCCAGAGGAACAGGGAGCCAGAGGAACAGGACTACCAATTGCTTTTTTTCCTTTGACAATTTACATAGCTTCTTCTGATACTATGAGAGCTAATCCTCAGGGAGGAAGCATCCAGGTCAGTTCCATCTGGATTCTTCCAAGTCTTGTGTCTGAAGTATGTGATATCTTCAGGTCACTAAAGGCAATGCAATAGCCTATATTGTTTGGGTGGGGTCTTCTGGATTCCTTTGACTAATAACTCAAATGAAGATTTCCCATACCTGGTATTGGTGCTTTTATTATGTAATCTATGAATTTTGAGGAGAATATTATCACTCCAAGTGGTGTAGCTTCAATTAAACTATTATATATAAATATTACATATGTATAGAAAAGTATTATACTAACATATATTATTATATTATGTATATTAAAGAATGCACTGTGTATACTATTATAGTGTGTGTGTGTGTGTGTGTGTGTGTGTGTGTGTGTGTGTGTGTGTGTGTTAAAGATAGGCCATGAAGTTGAAAAGGAACTGGGGAGGCATTGGAAGAGTTGGTGAGAGGAGAGATGAGAAATGATGTTGATACAGAATTCATATATGAAATTCTCAAAAAGTAAAATAAAAGTTAAATACATGTAATTTTAAGTAAAAAATAAAGTATAGGATTCTTATGTCTCTTTCAAGCATCTTTAGTGTTAATTATCTGTCCTCTCTCTTCTTAAATCTCCTTCTGTATTGCCCCCCATGCAAGGCAAGTCTCTCTCACCAGCCTTTCCCATTTCTAATTGTAATTTAATCAAATGTATGAGGTCCTGATACATGATTTTTATTCAACTTGTGCTGATTTTATTTGAATATCAAAGATTAACACTACTTTTTATCTAATCAAAATTTGATCTTATACAATTCCACACATGTACCCAGTGCATATTTACCCCTCTCAATCCCTACCCTCTCTTATCTACCTACCACCCATGTCCAACCCCTTTCCTCCTCACAAATCTCTCCACTTTCATGCCTGTTGATTTGGGGTGAGGGGTGTTGTCATTGTTGTTACCCACTGGGTTTAACAAGGGCCATTGTCATGACCATGGGAGCCATCCATTGGAACCTGGTATGATCATCGGGGATGTACAAGAGAAAACAAGGACCCTCCCTCTCTCAGAATCCACCAATAGCCAAAGTTCTGCAGTAAAGGGTATAGTCCCATAAGTCCCACCCACTTCCATGACTGATTGTTAATACGTTAGCCTAGTGAAGATAACCACTATTGTTGTGAAGTAATAATTTTCACAATTATATCAAGTCTAAAGGATAGTATTTCACAGCCTTTTGTCCTACCTTCCAACTCTTACATACTTCTCACTCCTTTTTCTTCAATGTTCTGAGCTTTTCTAATATCTAAGGGAAAACAGAATTGTCTTCCCTCATTTATTAGTGAACAGGTCTGACAGCATTACTAAGGCCAAGGCACAGGGACTGGGAACTGGCCAGCCCTGGAACCTCTCACTTAGTTAATATGATATGGTTTCTCCTTGCAGCATTTCAGTTTCGTGTCTTTGCCAACTGATGTGCTGGAAATTGAAGTGAAGGACAAGTTTGCCAAGAGCCGTCCCATCATCAAGCGTTTCTTGGGAAAGCTGTCAATGCCTGTTCAGAGGCTGCTGGAGAGACACGCCATAGGGTAAACTGTGACTGGGGTGGCTATGCTTCCATTATAGGCTGCCTCCAGGAAGGCTTGTAAGCTCCATTATAAAGTCTTAAGGAAAGACAAACTGAGATGGTTTCCAGTTCCAGAGCTTCTCCCATCAATATCATTTCCTGAGTCATGATATTCAATTAAATCGTTCCCCTTCTTACTCATGTATAGTTTTTATAATGCATATTAAAGAGTATAGAAAGTCATAAGACAATTGAAAAAATACACATTTTCCTGAATAAATAGAAATTTGAAGTTTGCCTTTGCTACGGAAAGTATTTCATTCTTTCACCTGTCTTGTATGTAGGATTTAACCACAAACTGCATTTCCATACCCAGATGAAATGTTATGTTTCTTGGGTAAAATTTCTCAAAATATGATATTTGTAGGAAAATCTAGATGAAAATTTGAAAGCACACAGTCTCAGGGAATGACAGCAATTACGTTGGTCACAGAAGTCAATTGTATATGAGAATATGCTTTTTGTGTTTTAAATATTTTCCACTCCTATTCATTCATAGTTTTTATTGAAATGAACTATGATCAGATCATCTCTTTGTATTATGTGTATTTCCTTAGCTAACAGCACTGCATTTGGAAATATTAGCATAGGGGGTTTGGCTATAAGCATATCATTAATATGATATGACTCAGAGTAATATGAAAGGAATGAAAAATATTATCAGACTTTTTGGGTAATTTAATTTGAAGTTCTCTGGGGATTTGTTTAGTACCTGACAGCATGTGTGTAGCTGTGTGCTCATAAGGATGCCATTAATTCTCAAACCAAAGGAAGCTGACATATATGGAGCTACTACCCCATGCCAGACTATGTTCGCACTGCTGTTTATGCTTGTGCATAAACAAGACCCTGGTGCAGATTGCCTAACATTATCACTGGCACATAGAAGGAACTTAAAAGGGAATGGTGTTCCTTATGACCTTTTTAAAAAAAATTTGGTTCTCATAACATGTCTACAATGAAAGCATTATTGCTTCTTCACATAGGAAAGTGAGACCTGTGAGGGATAAGTCAAGGTTAAACACACTTGCTTCTCTCCAAAGACCAAGTACAACCTCTCCCCAAGAGAGGCTTCCTGCAACTGATTGTCTAGTTTGTTAATCGACATGCCTTTCATTCCTCTCCTATCCTCACAATGCTAATGCTCTGCTGGGTGTGGGGCAAGAGGACAAAAAGGGGTTTGGCAAGATGTCTGATACTCCAGGGGTAAGCACACCTCGGCCTAACAGATACCCAGTTACATCCTGCTGGCTGAACTCTCTGGTTCATTACAGCAACAGAGAGGACTCACCCACTTTCCTATACCAATTCCTTTTTTTAGTATTGACATAAAGTGCCAGCCTTTCACTGTGGAAGAATGTATACCCAGGTAGGAAAAAAATTGAGGTAGAAGAGGGTCTCCCCTAAGCTGAGCAAGGTTTGATTTTCCTAGTGGTCTTTCATCTTGAAGGAAGGGGCAGCAGAGATGAGTACAAGCAACAATAAGCCTTGGTGGGATTACTCCCCACCACCTCTGATGGGATGACACACTTACCCTATTGGGTTTGGAAGTTCTCCAACTCCTACTCTTCAACTTCTTCCTGCCATTCCACTTCCTCTTCCAAGGCCTGCAGCATCCATCATCTGTAGGGACCACTTCTGTAATGCTGCCCATTATGGATATATCCGACATAAGTAGGAACAAATGACTGGGCTATGGCCATAAAGCAGCAATTGTTTGACTTGAGCCATGGTACAACCCCAGAATACACACACACACACACAGACACACACACACAGACACACACACACACACACACACACACACACACTATTTCCAGTCCTCTCTTCTTTCCTTAAACTGTAGTAATTTCAATTGTCTTTTGGCCTCTAAACTCAACTCTAATCTTCAATTTGGGAATGTCACTGACACCTAGGTCATTATTTACTGGTCTTTCCTTATTCTCCAGCCAACTGTTAAAGGCAGATTCTGTGAGGTACATGTAGACTCCAGCCTGTAGGACACAAAGGCCAACTTCAGCCTTTTTACATGGCAAGAGCTCAGAAACTACTTGGTTTCTGAGTAGTTGAAAGCAAAGAAAGGAAATCTTAGAAAGTGAGTGCAAAACATAGTAAACTTAATTACCATGTCACATATGATCATCTTTAATTCTCACTTCAATTAAGTTTTAGATTCAGAAAGTATTTCTTATGATCATAGTGGACATACTTCAAAATATTAACCAATATCTCCCCTTCCTAAATTAACAGAACTTTCTCATTAATCCAATTATATCTCCATATAATATTTTAATTCTGACATATAATGAATTCTGACAATAAACATTATGCCATGCTTTATTGAGGAAAATATTAAATTAATACATCATTGGATTATTTTATTTGTTTCATAATGTCAGTTTTTCCTATGGAAACTTTTAATACTGACAGCCAATGACTTGTGTTTTTATTTAAGTATCACAAATGAATTAGTGGAGTGAATATAGAGTTAACAATTGGCTATGGAATGTACCTTTGTTCATCCCTGGATCTCCCAAGGAAGTACTTTCCCTAATTTGGCCAAGGTAGCCAGAAATTTGTAAAAACTGTATTGCCTGTGAAAATATATCATTACAACTTCAAATTGATTCTTCCCTGGATAGATTATTTTCAGTAATTTAAAAAGGTACTTTGAATGGGTGTGGCACCAGAGTCCAGATAGTCAATAAGTGTCTCTATTCTTGGTGCATCTGGAAATCAAGGTCAGTGAACACGTCTTGTTTTTGCTCCATCCTGTAGCTTTCCATAGCTCAGCACAGGTTCTCTAGTAACTATCATGGCATCTATTTTTATACATTACATATATTCCTCCCAACATATTTTGGCATATCCATTGCCAGGGGCATATTTGGAAATGACAATGTCCACAGGAAGATCAAGCAAAGACATTTACAATTTTTGTCCCTTCGCCTTCTATATAACACATATTATCAAACTTAGTCTGTGAAGGGAGTAATAGTTTAAGATTTACAGGTCACACAGTCTCTGTCTAAGCTGTTCAGCTCTTCCACTATGACAGAAAATAGCCATAGGCAATGTGTAAGCTCATGAGTGTTGATGGACACTTAAATTAGAATTTCACGTAATTTACTTTTCTTTAAGAGTTTTCCCAAAAATATTTAAAAATAAAGCTCATGGCCATACCAAAATAAAAAAAGTGATGACTAGATATGAGGTGTCGTTTCCTGACCCTTGAGTTAGAATATTTGATAAGAATTTCCTTGTACTTGACCCAACATATGTACCTTAAGGTGGTACCGTATGTCCCCAGAGAGACCTTCACTTCCTGTTACAGTGGTTTCTCTGAGCTTGCCTGTCCCACCAGCTGGTTTAGAAAGCACACTGTGGTCTTTAGCAGGATAGTTCATTACAAAATCTGTGATGGTGCTTATTTCCTTCTAGGGATAGGGTGGTCAGCTACACACTTGGCCGCAGGCTTCCAACTGATCATGTGAGTGGACAGCTGCAATTCCGATTTGAGATCACATCCTCCATCCATGCAGGTACTTTCAACCTGATCTTCATGTCGTGTTCAAGGGTAGTGTACTAGTGCGGTTCTTTTCTCTAAAACACAAATAACCATAGTTATTTCCAAGTGTGTTATAGGCTTTGTAGTTCTCTCATCTCCATCTGAGTCCCAGAAGCCAGGGACCTATTTTAAAAGCCAGGTTTGCTAGCTCCTTGGTTAAAAGGTTCCTCTTAACCCCCATCACCCAAAGATAGTAGTTGCACAGTAGAATAAAGGTCAACAATGTGATACAAACTGTTTCTTATTATTTTACTGCTGGAACCTGACATAGGAGATGCTCAAAAGCTGTTTAATCACTCTACACATGAGTGACTGACTGACTGACTGACTGACTGAATGAATGAATGAATGAATGAATGAATGAATGAATGAATGTGAAGCATCCCTCTCTACCTAGTAACTAGTTATAGATTGGCTCTGAGCTGAAGAATGACATAATGCTGAAGAGCTACAATTATACAGTGACTTTTAACAGTATGGCAGGGAATATGAAAATTATAAACAGACATTTTCAGAACCGTCTTGTATTCATTTTCCATACCAAACCATATTTCCAAACAATAATGATGAGATGATGACTCATAATCCTCCTTTTTCTCTTTTCCACACACCCATACTAAATGTAAACCATGCTGAGAAATGTTAAGTCATCTTGAACCAAATATATGATTTGCTATTAAAGCTAATGAAGCCTCTGAGAATTTAGAGGCTGGGGTTTATTGCCACCCAATCACTAAGCCCCAGTATACAACTGGGCTGTAAGAAGACATGTGTTTGATCCTGTCACACCCAACCTTTTGCTCTTCTAAGACTGACCCTTCAGTGTGTGCAGAAAGAGCTTTATGTTTTAGCAGAGAGATAATTTTCTTCAAATAGGGAATTGCACTAATGCATTTGAAGTGGAATGCCAGTCTGCTCTATTTCCAGCCAAGTAGGTAAAGTTAAACAGTGTTTGCTTCTCCTTGAAAGGTGGTGTGGTTGGAACACTTAGTTTCCTGTTGTTAAATACTTCAGGTGACTATGAACACAACCCAGCCCTTTTCTTTTCTGTTGCAGCTCAAGAGCCTGACTTAGCTATTCTATCATCTTGCAGGATGATCCATGGGAAATGTTTTAAACAAGTGCAATCAACTTGTCTAGGGTTTTTAAGAAATTATAAACACTACTGCCATCCTCATCTCTGAATGTCACTGTCTGTAACAAACATTGTTGATCTCTGAAACTGGGTAAAGCTCAGTTTGGGACGTTAAAAATTTTTTCTTAGCAGTCCCTTGAAAGAGAATTTTTAAATAGTAGCCTTGCTGAAAGTGTCATTAACATAAAGGGCACTCATCACAGAATTTTCTAGTAGCAATCTAGAGAGCGAGAAGCCCTCATCCACTCGTCTCCAGTATCTTATATTAGAGATCCTTTGCCATGTTTTACATGTGCCTACACGGAGCACTAGCTCCCATGGCTCTTCCCAAAAGAATGACATCGTTTTCTTCTTGCCAACAGATGATGAGGAGATCTCTCTGAGTGCTGAGCCTGAGTCTGCAGAAATACAGGACAGTGTCGGGAACAGTGTGGTGGAAAGCAGCAATGGGGAACCTCCTGGAGACGTTCCAGAAAACTCCAAGAACTTGAATCCAGAGTTGCCAAGTGAAGCGAATGGCGTGAACAGCTCAGGAAACCAAAACCAGGAGCATGCCAGGCCACTTGAGGAAGCCGCAGGTACCATGGAGGCTGGAGATGGTAGTTCTTTCTCTGAAGAACCCGAAGGGGCTGAAGAGATTCCAGACCCGGAGCAACGTGCCACCCAGCCCACTCTGAGTGCAGAAGAAGTGGCAGAGGAACTTCACCTGGAAGAGGATCTGCCACCACCGCCGTTGCCAGAAGACAGTGCAGGCCCAGGTAGCCAGGCAGAAGAGGAAACAGTGCCGGAAAATGGAGCCAGAGAGGAGGAGATGCAAGAGAAGGGCCCAGATGAGGAGGAGGAGGAAGAGGATGTTTCTGCCCTGGAGCAAAGAGAGCCTGGACTGCAGCTGAGGGCCTCGGTGAAAAAAAAAAGCAGACCATGTTCCTTGCCTGTGTCTGAGCTTGAGACAGTGATTGCATCTGCCTGTGGAGACCCTGAAACCCCAAGGACACACTATATCCGAATCCATACCCTGCTGCACAGCATGCCCTCGGCTCAGAGAGGGAGCACCACAGAGGAGGAGGACGGCTTGGAGGAGGAAACAACCCTAAAGGAGTCCTCTGAAAAAGATGGGCTCAGCGAGGTGGACACAATAGCCGCTGACCCGCAGACCATGGAAGATGGAGAGAATGAGGGGGCTACTCTATGCATGGCACCCTCTGACGGCTCTGGGGGCCATGTCTCCAGTTTGTCCAAAACTATTGGTGCTGGCCAGGATGGTGATGTACATCCCAGCACTGGGAGCGAGAGTGACTCCAGCCCCCAGCAAGGAGCAGACCACAGTTGCGAGGGCTGTGATGCCTCGTGCTGCAGTCCCTCGTGCTACAGCACATCGTGCTACAGCAGCTCTTGCTACAGCAGCTCCTGCTACAGCAGCTCCTGCTACAATGGCAACAACCGGTTTGCCAGCCACACACGCTTTTCCTCTGTGGACAGCGCCAAGATCTCCGAGAGCACCGTCTTCTCTTCGCAAGAGGATGAGGAGGAGGAAAACAGCGCATTCGAGTCGGTCCCTGACTCAATGCAAAGCCCAGAGCTAGATCCTGAGTCTACAAATGGGGCTGGGCCTTGGCAGGATGAACTGGCTGCCCCTGCTGGGAATGCAGCAAGAACTACTGAAGGTCTGGAGTCCCCCATGGCAGGTCCCAGCAATAGGAGAGAAGGTTAGACTGCAAACCAGATCAGTGAGAATAGGGCCACCACGATACTAAGACACGAACCTCCCCCTGTGGAGGTGGAGGGACCAGTCTCAAAGGGCTAGTCTGGATGCACATATTCATGCTGTTGTCTATGTGTGTGAATTTCTGGCACAATTTGTCTCAAATTCACACCAAGAAATACAGCTAGTAGGATGTGAGTGGCTACCTACCTGTGTGTGTGTGCTTCTTTTTGTTTTGACTAATGACCAGAGCTAGTTGGTACAAGGTAGCTTCCTGGTCTTAACAGTAACCCCAGGGGTAAAACTAGTATCAAATGACATAAACATTAAATCATGGCAGATAGGCATTATCATCAGCATTAGATAGCAAATATATTGAGTTCCTAAAACACATTGAAGATCAGTGATAGATATGAGTAATTGCTGAAGAACATGGATTCTTCCCCCTGGAACACTCTGATAGCTCTGGGGGCCACTCCCCCAGTTTGTCCAAAAGCACTGGCATTGGCCAGCATGGCAATGCACTCTGTACATGGATAGATGACATGTCTTTTTCTTCTTTCTACCAGCCCAATTCCTGCTATAAGAGTTGATTTTGTTTTGTTTTGTTGGATTATTTTAACCACTGGAAAGGAAGAACAGCATTATTAACCAGAGTCTCTTGGGTCTGAGCCCAGGTCCTGACATCCCTACCAATCAAGGTTCCACTAACTAAAGACACCATGAATAGTGAAAAGCAGAAAAAGAGGGTTGTCACATTGGAAAAGAGGACTAAAAGGTTCAGTGGAACACATTAGGTCTGTGTTTAGGGTCTTGATAGAAGGTTTGAGTTTAGAGTTGTGAATAACTAAGTAGTTTATGCTAAGGGTTAGTCCCACCCATCATCATTGTCTGGCTTTCTCCCTCATCATAACTGTCTCCTGGTTCTCCCTGAAGGAAGGTCTGACAAGTTGTAGAAACTGTCTGAAATCTGCCAGACACAGGCTCTCTCACAGGCCAGCAACAGGCCTCAGCCTTTTCCTTCTAACATGGAATTCCTAAAAAAAAATTCTAATTTCTTGGGTCCATTGTTTCAAGTCTGTTAGTCAGATTGAGGGCTATAAGTGTCTTTCTGGAATATCTTCATTTCTGCCAGCCCAGTTTTAGTGCAAATACATAAAATCTCATGTTACAAATAAAATTCTAATCCAAAGGCTGCCACCTTTGGTTTTAAAATGAATTGCTCATTCCACATAAATCCAAACTGACACTTATTAAACTAGTATTCCTTACCTAAGTTATGCTTCTTTTTATTTCTATAAAATTTTTACTTAAAACTCAATTTAAAATAGTTCTCAAAAAAAAACTGCAGATAAGTGAAAGGATCAGCGTTACATGGTCACGAGTTCAGGTCCTGGAGGCAAGTCCATCATGCCACTTCCTCGCAAAATACCTAACTGCTCTGTATCTCTACTTCGTTGGGTGCCAATGGGTATAATTGTACCATTGACCTCAGGGCACAATGGGAAGAATTAAATGACATGGAGCAATGAGGCATTCTGCCTTCTCTCCTAATGAGAGTTCTTTCAGGCAGATAAGCAAGAAAGTTAATTGTTCAAGTTGCACAAGAAAAAGCACCCTTTGACTCTACCCTTACCATACTAGCCAAGGAAACTTTCATACAATTAAATGATCGTCACTTTGCTTTAAATGGTATTCTGGTAGCTTATGTTGACACAAATACATAGTTCTCAATTCAAAGAGTATAAGAATTAGTTTATTCTGGAACCAAATATAAGTGACCACGGCTTAAGAACAAAGCTTTAGGTCACCTTAAATTCCAGGTTCCAAAGCATGAAGTTTCTGTAGAAACAAAATGAAGATAGCCGCAAATAATGACACTTCAAAAATGCATTAGTGGAGACGGTGAGTAGGTGGTTACAGCACAGTGGAGAAACCTCAGCTGTAGACCTTAGATACTGTGTGATGACACAGCCCTTTGATTGGTGGAAAACTAGAGGTTTGTCAAGTTTATTCATTCTAAAGAGTGGTGTTTTTTTTCATCTATCTGGATGTTAGGCTTTGTCTATTAGTAACCAGACATTAGATCTAATGCAGAATGGGGGTAAAGAATGGCTACTTAGCAGGTGAACAATATCCCAAGATGAACTGTAATTCAGCTTTGGGCCTGTAACATTCCACCATTTCCACACACTGAA